CAGAATTCTGAGATCCTCAGGCCCCTGACTGCCGGCCCCGGGATGACCTCCATGTGGAGGTCCAGGAAAGCCTAGGCCATCAGCTCTGAGCCCCACCAGGCTCTCTGACAGAGCTGGGTTCTAAGTGCTTGGCTTCTTGTAGGACATTCTAAATGTAACAAACACAGCATCATGAGTTCCACCACCAAAACCCACAACCCCAAACCTGCTGAGTTTAATTAAAGCAGCACTGAGGGACCTCCTCATGAATCCAGTATAGAGACATTTGTCTACCGCAGTACTGTGATCAGGAAAGAAGCAGAGGAAGGGATGGATGTGGGTCAGAGGAGGGAAGTAGGGAGGCGATGGCTCAGCGGGAAAAATGCTGAGCCTGGAATGGAGGTCACTTAATCCAGTGATTTTCAAACTTACTATTTTTATTACTTTTTAAGCTATAGGAGCCTTTGTTCAAAAACAACTCTGACCCAAAAACCCAGCATGGAGGCAGGAAGAATTGTCAATTCAGGTGGCTGGAGGGAAGGGGAGGCTCTGTGACATGACAACTGAAAAGGATGGGGCTGCTGGGCTGACCCTGAATTCCACAGCAAGTTGGAACCACGACAGCCTTTCCCAGCCACATATGAAGACCTCAGTGGAGCTTGACAGAACTGGAAACACATTTTTAAGGATATGTCAGCCCTGGCCAGTCTGGCTCAGGGGTTAGAGCGTCAGCCCAGGGACCAATGAGTGGCGGGTTCAATTCTGGTCATGGGCACATACCTCGGTTGCGATTCATCCCCGGCCCTGGTTGGGGTCATGCGGGAGGCAGCCACTCAATGTATCCCTTGTACGTTTCTGTTTCTCTCTCTCTCTCTCTCTCTCTCTCTCTCTCTCTCTCTCTCTCTCTTCCCCTCCCTCTCTCTCTCCCTCCCACTCTGTCTGAACAAAAATGGAAAAATGTCCTCCAGTGAGGACAAAAAGAAAAAAAAAAGGGCCTTCACAGTAGTCAGTTTGAAGGGACCCCCACTGGCCAAATCCATAACAATTTGAGCTTCAAAATAAACAATAATAGTAATGGATTTTAACTCAATAAAATAAGAACCCATGAGTCCATTCTAAGATGCAAATAAATGGATTAATAAACAAGTAGGGGGGTTCTTTACAGTAGAATGTCGAATAATAACTGTAGAAGGAATTAATCAAATTAAATCATCAATATTCAGCAACCATGAAGAAAAAATAATTTTGTTAGGAATCATCAGTGGATTCTTAGTTTATTCTGGCTGCTGTAACAAAATAACACTAACTGGGTGGCTTAAAAACAATAGAAATTTAGTTCTCATTGGGATGTCCAAGATCAAGGCACCAGCATGGTCAGGCAAGGGCCCTCTTCCTGGTTCAAAGCTGGCCCCTTTTCACTGTGACCTCACATGGTGGCAGGGGGAAGGGAGCTCTTTGGGGCACTAACCCCATTTGTAACATCTTGTCTCTCCTAACCTAAGTACCTCCCAAAGGCCCCAGCTCCCAATACTGTCAAATCTGGCATTAGGATTTCAATACTACATGAGAGGGGTGGGGTACAAACATTCAGACCGTAACAGATTCTAAAACTGGGTGATCAAAGTTTCATGAGAAAGAGCATGCTTGCAAAGTCTCCATCTCTCTCCATAAGACACATACTAAGTACAAGGAGTACAAGAGTAACTGAGCAATGGAGAAACCAGCAGACACCACCTTAACCAAGTGATCTGTTGTCATCACCCATCGCGAGCAAAGCCAACATCAGTCCCTCCCGAGGAGGTGCACCAAGAAGGGCCCTGCACTTCTGCGGCATAACTGACAAAAATGCAGAACCTGCATTATGAGGAAAGATCAACAAAACCCAAATTAAGGGAGATTCTACAAGATAACTGGTCTCAAGTCAAAAGGTAGTTTGTGGTCATTTTCCTTTAAAAAGGAGGTGGGGTGGGGGTGGGATAAAACATCTGGGCAACAATCAAGGCTAGAGCTCAGACTGAGATCTTGGGAATGATTCATCAAGCAGCTCCTTCAGCTGCACCAGCAGCATCAGGGCAGTACATGCTCACCAAGGTGAGGCAGGGCCACGTCACCCACAGCTACTGCCCCAACCTCTCATGAAGCTGGGTGAAGGGAGGCCTGGCACCTTCCTGGCTTCGTAGCTGCTTTCACTCTGCTGCTGAAGGTGCAGCTGCCAGCTCATGGGAGGATGGACAGCCCACGCTGCCATGGTGCATGGAGCCCTCTGCCCTGATAATCACAGCAGGCCTGTCTCTGAAAACCTAAGTGCACGTGGCATGTCTATACCCAGAAGCCAGTTGCACACAAAATGTGGAGAATCTGGGCCCAGTTTGCAGTGACATCTCCAACGTGGACAAGAATCCAGGAGGCTTTGAATGTGCCAGGACCTTCAAACCTCAGGAGGACCAGACCGGGCCTTTTGCCCACTCTGAAATTCTCTTCTAAAGACCTGAGGGCCAAGGGCTCCCTAGACTGGCAAGACTGAAGACACCTGCCCCACAGTCCATCAGCACATTCACTCTGCTCAGCCCTCAGGGTGAAAGGCTTGTGTTGTGGGAGACAAACACCTCAGGACTTGTTTGGGCTCATTCAAGCACCAACGTGCAAGGCACACAGCGTGAGGCTGTGGAGGCCACTAAGAAGTGGAGTAAGACCCATGCCTGACTCGGGACACAATTCTACCAAGTGGGAGGCTGGTGGTGCAGGCGGGCATGGGCGGGCACCGGAAGGAAGGAGGAGGTGGGAAGCTGGTCAGGAAATGCTGCGCAGAGCAGCCGGTGTCAATATGAACAGATGAGTGCCCCACATGCAGACACTCTCCATTTCAGGAGGAGCCACAGAGCCCTGAGATGGAGATGCCACCCTGCAACCCAACATCTGACAGCAGCCAAGATCATCGATTTGGGGTATGAACAGAGCCCCCAGTGTGTCCCCAGCCCTGTAAGTGGTACCAAGACACAACCAGTGTGGCCACCCTTACAGAGCTGACACAGTTGGGGCGGGAGCCACTCCTGAACACCACAGCCGTTCTGAGTGGAGTGGGCTGCTGCTGGGAGAAATAAGTCTCTGATAACTGAACCTTCCGCAGCCAGCAAGGCAGTGGAGCCAGCAGTGTGCAAGGTGGGACCTGCATGTCTAACGCAGGTGTGACAGGTTCTCTTTGTAGGAGCAGCCCTACCCCCACCCTCCTCTCCCCCAACACAAAGAAACTATGTAAGAATTTAGAATTACACACATTTACTCCTTTTCTTCCACTCTTCCATGCCTGAAAGGCATAAAAACTGTGGCTCTAATATGTTCAAGATCTCTGTATCCAAAATTGCAGTCGGCATCAATATACTGTTTTAAGATAAACAACCTATTTCACTCAAGGTCAGCACTGGGAGCACCCCCAAATCCAGCCCAGGGCAGGGCCTGCTTCCTGGCCTCCTCTGAGCAATGCAAACAGCCTGGGGAAAAAGGTTCACAGAGCTAACAAAACAAACTTCCCAAACAAGCTGTGAAAAGTGAAGCCTGCTGGAGAAAAATAAATAAATAAAACAAAGTGCATTGAAAATGTCAAGAGAAAAGAAATAAGGGTGGAGAGAGGAACAGATTTTTTTTTTTTAATGCAAATCAATGGTGGGAAACTGCTGAAAAAGTCTGAGCAGAATCTGGAAAGAGAGTCAGCTAAAGATTAGTAGTTCAGTCCCTGAAAATATCCCAGAAGGCCAGGGGGGCCCAGCAGCTGAGCAGGGGTGCCCAGGGCTCCTCTGGCTTGCCAGCACTTTCACCCCGAGGCCAGGAGGCTCAAGCTCTTCCCACCAGCCCTACCCACCTCCACAAGAATGCAATCCTAGCGAAATCAGGAGGCATCTCAAACTTTTCGCCACTACTAAAGTACTCAAAAAATAAACTGATAGCCCCCCTTCTGGACTATTTCTTTGAACTTCGGCATATACGAAAACACCTTTACAGAATGTCTGTGTTTCTACAAAAAGCAAGCAACACTGATAACCTGATTCTGCTGCTGTCATCCAGTTGGGCCAGACTGAGGGGAAGGGGTGGGCAGCAGGTGGCCATGGGAGGCTCTGCAGAGCCTTTCACAAAGGAGAGCTCCAATTACCCCTGGCTCTGTGCTCCAAAGACGACCTTGCCAGTAGGCTCAGGGAGATACCCAAAGCTGCCAGCCAAAGGATCTACCTCTGAGACACCCCCAGTGCCCAGGTATACCTGCTATAAACTACACATCCGAGAGGGTAGGGGCCCTGGGGCTGCCAGTCCCAGTTAAAGTCGACAGCTCTGAGGGCAAGAGGGTGAAGACTACAAAACCACAACACAAGCTGAAGAGCCACATGGCGGTGCTGGACAAAGGTGTGTGAGTCAGGGCTTCTCAGCCCTGAGAGTGCATGCAAATCACCTGGAAATCTTGCTCATCGTAGTCTGATTCAGCAGGTGTGGTGAGACACCACCGCCTCCAGATCCCAGATCCTATGTCTCAACAAGCCCCCACCCTGCGTCTCAACAAGCCCTCGGGTGATGCAATGCTGCCCATCCATGACAGGCCTGTGGGCAGAGCTTTGAACAGTGAGGATGTAAGATTCGTAAGAGAAAAGCAACCATTAAGAGAAAAGCAACCATGGGCGGAGAGCCAACCCATCCTTATCATGCATTGATTTACAGGGATGCATTCCACTTTCCTGAAGGAATGCTATAATTTTGGAGATTTTTTTCATTCCTTTAGTGCACCCCACTGGATTCTCACAGGTTATTTTAATCCCATTTCACAGCTGTGGAAACTACTCTAACTAAATGATAAAGGGACGCTGGATCCCCTGCCTCTTGGGAGTCTTCCAAGACCACAGGCCTCCTGTGAGCATGGCAGAAACACTCATCCGGGTGCAGTGACACAGAGGCTGATCCTGGCCCAGCAGACAATGGGAGGAAAACCAGACACAGGAGATAGAGGCTGGGTGGGGTAAGGCAGACAAAGAGCCACTCACCCTGAAGGGCGACCAGGGAAAGGATGGTTTTGCCTCCTGGAATCTGTAAAATACACAAAATGTAAACCAGGGCCCCCCAGGAGGAGGAATGGGGACAGTTAAGTACAAAGGGCACTATCTTATTATAATTGTTTTTACTTATAATGTCCTGCCCTCGAGCTCTGGCAAGAGGTACAATAAAGAGCTCCTACTTCCTCCCCCCCAGGTAATTTTACAAGAAGGGGAATGTGGCATTTCCAAGAAGAGTCAATGCTAAAGTCTGAGGCAAGATAATGTATCAGTGGGCTCCTGGTGCCACACCCAGCCCAAGAACTGCATGTGTTAGGGTCGGGGTGGGTGGGTTTCCATGTGAAAACCACACACATCTGCAGGGGAGATCACCACCACCACCAACCCCTCAGGAACCGGAGAAAGAAATGCCTGGAGGGGACATACCCTGTGATGACATTCCTTTCAAAAGATACCCTGAGTTGGCAAGTGGGGTTGTGGGTAGTGACCAGCCATTTTGGAGTTAGATTCATAGAACTGAAAGAGTCACACAGCTAAAAAGTCTCCAAAGTTCATCTAAGCAACCCTTCCATTTTCCAGAGACCTACGCCCATGGAAATGAATTGCCAAGGTTGCCCACAGTTCAGTGGCACAACCAGGACTCAACCCCAGCCGTCTAGTTCCATGTGCTTTTCCAGAACACTGTGCTGCCGCAATCATGACATTTCCCAACTCGTCTGGGACCAAGCACCCCAAAAACAGTATGTGTCTCAATGCATTTGACAGTGAACTTAGTTCTTTTTGCTGAGTCTTGTAAAAGCTTTGCAGAAATAAGGGCACTCCAAGGGGCCACCCTGTACAGGGCCAGGACTTGCTTCCTAATTTGTGAGACATGGCTGATAAGAGTCAGATAAGACAGCCTGGCTGATCTCAAGGTGAATAGGTTTTGAAAGGGTAAAATAAAATGCTAAACACACACAAAACAAGAAACAGTGAAAGCTCTGAGTTTGCAGACAAAACAACTCTATCCAAGGCAGGTGACTACTGCAGACTGGCTGCAGTGTAGAAAGTAGGACACGGGTTGGGGCGGGCACACCTCCAGAAAGGAATGCCAGTGAGTAGTCCTCAGCTACACCTTGGACCTCACACTTGGGCCCCCAAGAGGAAGCTCATTATGCCCACCAAAACCTAAGGGAGAACAGAGACGTTCAGTTGCAAAGGGACAGGGTATGGTTCCTCTCAGTTGGGGAAAAGTTCCCACAACCATACAGAGACCAAAGTCAAAGGAAATAGTTTTCTCATCCACCCCTGCCACTAAATGCTCGGAACTCTTCCTACACAGAGATCATGCAGAAGAACCAGGAGGTAAAAGAAGAGCAACCTCTGCATAGGAGTGGCTTTTTCTTCCAAAGACCAGGAGGTACCTGTGCAGCTCCCCCTAACCCCCATAACCCTCCTCCAATTCTCCGTCTCTCCTTCATACACCTTCAGTGGCCACAAACAGATGAGACCTCTCTCTGACCCACTTACATGTCACTATCATTCTAATCCAATAAGAGGACCAGACCGTCTCTAAACAAAGAGAAATCTCAGCACCACTGGGGAGATGGGGTGGGAGCTGGGAGAACTGAGGGTGCAGACAGGGGACTGCATGCCATTGGCTCAGTGGGAAGGAAGATTCATGTCTTAAGAGCTTCTGCCGGTGCTGTGAGACCGCTGCCCACTGCCCGCTGCCCGCCGCCCGCCGCCTGCTGCCTGCCTGTGATTCAAGAGGCCAGAGAGGGCAGAACAAAGGAATATGGCTGTGGCTCATGCAGTGGGGGAGGTGACAGGCCAGCCTCCAGCAAGCAGGCTTTTCTGCAGCTGAGTGCTCGAGTGAGGAACAGGGGACACTGAGCTGAACACTGAGGTACAAAGGAAAGTGGGGGCCTGCAATACTTACAACAACCCAGGCACGTGCCTGGCCCCCACCCAAGGATGCAGCTGGGCCGGGATTGCTCAAGCAGATCCCACTCCCAGAGGCAGTGGGCAGGTGGCTGACAAGACAGGCACAGGGCACTCCTGCTCCTCGCCCAGCTGCTCAGCACTCTTACCCAGGGGGCTTCCAGGCACAGTGTGGGGACTTGAGGGGGGATTTGACAGGGGTACCTGAAAAGAACAGGGCCCCTCCTAACATCCAAGGATGGAGAGGGCACTGGGAGAAGGCAGGGCCCAGGCTGGGCAGCTCATCCAGCATAAAAGAACACAAGAGGGACCCTGGAATGGCCAAGACCCCTCCACCAAAGGACTTTGATTAAGCATAATAGTACCCTGCTGCCAGCAACAATAGCAACACTGGCCACCCCCTCCCCGCCTCCTCTCCCCCAAAAAGCTCCACAATGAGAGGCAGCAGGAAACCAGGGCAGAGCCCATGAATAGCCCCACTGTCAGTCCCCAGGCCCCACCTCCACAGCTCCACAGGTCAGTCCTAGCTGCCACCCCACCACAATAGAAACCTCTGTGCTGCCAAGGCCCAAGCCCACACAACAGAACTGTGGGCATGGGAAGCTCCAGGTTTCTCACAGGGCAGCATGTAACAGCAATGGTGGGAGAGAATGACCAGGGCACAGCCCTCAAACCCAGGAGGGCTGGGTCACGTCAGGACCTTTCCATTTAGGGGGGTATCTTCCAGCCAGCCCTAAAATCTCCCTGGTTCTTGCCCTGCCCTAGCATGGGGCAGCCAGAGCCACACAGGAAAAGATGGTCATCGCAGAGGCACACTGGGGCTATAAGGATGGAAAACAGCCAGAGAGCTCCCAGGACTCCCAGGAGGACCCCAGCAGATGGCTCCAACATATGCCCTCCCTCCCTCACCCAACCCATCCCAGGAAGAAAACTCATCTGCCCCCACCCCATGCTTCTGCTCTGAAAGGAAGCTGCCTGCTCAAAACAGAAAACCCATCTACTATTTACACCAGGTGCCTTCTACACAGGCTTTTAAAATCACAGGTGTCAAACAGGCCCAAACCAGCCTAAAGCAGCACGAAGGAAGCCAGGGCGCAGAGCAGGCAGGAGATGGAGACTCCCAGAGCAGTGGAAGGTCCAGTGAGGCCAGGATGGGAGGCCCTGACCCTCACACCAAGCCCTGAAACAGGGAGAATCCGCTCTTCTGAGAGCTTATTCCCAGCTCCAGCTAGTTTCTCGGCCAAGACGTGCACTGCCCAAGTCCTGCAAACTCTTGCAGCTGCTCAAACCCACATGAGAAGCCTGCCTCCAGCCCCATATCCTCTCTAGCTCTGGCTACCTCCTCACACACCTCTATCACAATTCTGCAAACAACAGGTGCTACAGCGACTGGCTGACCTGAACTGAAACAAAGCCAGACTGTGGTGGGAACCAAAACCTCAGCACCCCACTGTAGTGCCTCCAGCTCTAGGCTCCAACTGCAGAAATATGAGATCCTGCCAAAAGAAAAAACTCAGGACCTATCTTTCTCCCTTTTGGACTCAAAACAGTGTTTCTTTTCCTGTTAAGCACCCAATGGCTGGAATTCTCAGCTAGCCATCTCTACTACAGAGCTATGAGCACGTGCTAAGCATCCCTGCAGCTTGGCCCGGAGAACAAAACCCTGGAAGCAACCTCGATGTCCATCAATGGGGGAGGGTGGGGGGTGATAAAGAGAATCATAGTTTACTATGCAGAGGAATAACATGCCGAACTTCCAAAGAATGGCCTAAACTGTGTGTGCTGAAATGGAGCAATCCCAAGATAAACTTTAGAGTAAAAATCAGTAAGTGCAGAACAGCAGAATTAACAGACCAGCAAGAGAATAGAGAGAAGTGCAGAGAGGCTTGACTGGGCACCCAACACCTGGTGACAGAGGCCTCAGGGGAGCAGAGCTGAAGGGGTCAGGGATGAAAACTCATTTTCACTGTATGTATTTATGTTTTGTATCATGTATACATTTTTTTACTTTAAAAGTTAAACCTAAATTGACATTTAAGATCCCTAAAGTTTACGGCTGGAGGCACCAAAACTTTTACCTGTAGCTCTCTACAGGCAGTGGGGAAGGAGGAGAGGGAGCACCAGCCTCCAGAGTCAAGACTTAACAACTCCAGAGAGCTAGCTCGCTGCCTGCTCACAACCCTCCCCAACTTCCAAAATAGAAAGTTTTCCTAGGAAGACCAAGAGCAGATTCTGACAGAGGCAGAAGGGAAGCCCGAAGTTATTCCACGTGGAGGATCATCTGTAGCCAGATCCGTGGGGAGACTGTAAGACTCCCAAGTGGAGGTAGAGGGTGGGGAAGGTTTGAACCACAACGTAGGCCTCAGCAGGAACCTCCTCAGGGCCCTCCCAGTCATCAGGGAGGCTCAAGGTCCTAATGTTATGAGCCCATCCCAATTTTAGCAACTAAAGAAAGCTATTTCGACAGATTTCTAGGCCTGGCCCAACTCCAAGGGCAGGCTAAAAACAGTTTCTCCAAAATCCCAGCTCAAAACCCCAGTCCCTTAACCACTAAACTCCATGTACCTTTCAGGAAATGGAAGCTGCAAATTACAGTTGTGAGATGGATTTGTGTATTTATTCCCTACTAAAGGGATGTATAGATGTTGTTGAAAGCTTCCTTGAACACATCAATAACTACTCTGCGCTAGAGGCACTGATGTACTTCCTCCAAGCGATTCTCCCTCTAAGGAACAATATAATAATCATCTCAGTCTCCCTCCTGCTTCTCTGAGGTATGACACATGCCTATTAGAACCAGGTCTGGCCTGACCACTTGGGTGAGACCATTTGGGGGGTAGGGAGTGAGAATGGAGCTCTTTCCATTTAGCGGAACTCCCCTGTCCCACCCCCAAGCCACCACAGCAGGCACTAAGACCTCCTAATATCCTCAGGCTCACAGACTGCCCAGACCACAGAGAAAGAAGACAGGAAAGAAGGAAGGTGTATGTTTGGCTCACCTATTTTATAAGATGCTTTCTGATGCTTACTGAACTTAATGTTCAGTAAGTAACCTGTACATTAAGAAGCACAAGTGAGATTTCACAACAAGTAGAATCACACTGGTACTTG